AAATAGTCTTCAATGGTCTTTCCAGCAAAAATTTTTTCTTAAAAATCTTTATTGTACCAAAATTTTATACTTAAAATATTATGACAAATCATCAGTAGATCAAAATTTTTTTTTCATATAATTTTTGCACAAGATAACCGTAATTGTCGCTTAAATTTAAATATATAAAACAACTCAGATTTAGATAAAAAATAGGTTTAATGAGATGAGCTCAAAATACAACAAAATCTATTAGGAACTTATCTTCACTTGTGTGTTTTAAAAATTTAATTACTTTAAAAAAAATTAGAATGATATTTTTACATAACACATAAATGTATTGATTCGTTCATTACTCACATTTTTTTTATTTTAAAGTAATTTTTACACCTTTCCAGAAATATGGACAACAAGTAAAGTTTGAGAGTAAAAATGACATTAGAAATGCTAAATTTATTCAAAATCATATTTAAATGAATAAAATAAAGCATATATAAATATACATATAAAAAGTATATTTTTATTACCTGGGCTTTATATATTTCATACATTTCCCAAACTCGAAACGGATTCGGTTTTTCGACTCCCAAAGTTTCCTTCATTAAATCAAACGAAGAAAAACATACACCAAGATCAGATTCTCGATCTTTTAAAGTTTTCTCTAATTTTTCCATGAAAGCTACACATGTTGGCTGCTCGTAGTAAAATTTCAACTAAAAATGAAAAATTACCATGAAAAGTATATTTGAAAAAAATTAAACCTGTTAATTATACATTATTTATTTATTAGAATTTCAACGAGAGTATATACAATATACACATTATTTTGATAATAATCCCTCAACTTAATAATAATATAGGTATTATCTACAGCCAATTCTTATTTTTTAAATATATGTTTTTTTTCATTGTTTATTTGTTGACTTTGTATACACGTACTTTAGTCATATACATTTTATAAGTTATCTTTACAATTTTATTTAATTTGATTGTATAGAATTATATAGCACATTACATTCTTTTTTTTGTCAATAATGTTATAAAATTGGTTGCGAGGAAGATTTTTTGCCTTACTATTTCTTTATAACTTTTGCCTATACTATTTTTTGCACTCCATAATGGCATCCGCCCTAGTCACTCCTCCCAAGAAATAGCAATTAGAATCGTTTTTTTTTGTCTCATTTTAATGATTACAAAAATAAATATTTTTATACATTATGACTGTATTAAATTTGAAACTGTATGTATTTGTGGTTTAAAATATTAACTTACCAAATCTTCTTTTTCCTTGTTATGTAAGTCTTTAAGCTTCTCGAATTTATTCCAATCTTTCTGGACCAAACTATCTTTGTCCTAAAATTATAAATTAATAAAAATTTATTAAATTGTGCAGTTATGTGAAAAATAATCAAGATAAATAATTATATAAAATATTGTATAAAGTTTTGTTAAAATTCTAACAAATGATTTTCCCATATTTTTATATGGATAGATTTGCGTAGCGACGGATAGACTAGTTTTCAGGAGGTTAATATTGATTAACATTTGTTTTTTATTTTTATTATTTTTTGTATAAACAAGGAAGGATATTACAGTGATGTAGTAAATTTTTAATTGTTTTTTTACTTTTATAATATAATTTTACCGAATCAGTAAGTCCTCCCCATACTAAATATGCACTAATCAAACATCTTGGATAATCAGTAGCTTCCATAATTATTTGATCTCTTTCAAAAGTTTCGATTCCATAAAGAGATTTTGCATATCTCATTCTCAAACTTTGTCCTAAATAGTACATAGCTTCCTTACCTACCTGAAAAAAATCTTATATACATACATCTAATTTGTTTGGATTTTGGAAGAATTACAAATGTTATGGCAAGGCCATATTATGCTTCAACTCCCATACGTTATGCTACTGAATCATACTGTCAAAATGTCATGTATTTGCTGTGCATTCAGGCGTTTTACGCATAAACTGCAACGTGTCTCGTATGTTATGAAGCTGGGTCAGAAAGACCCTGTTATCTTAGATCGTTTTTTTGACATTTGCGCGGTTTCTAGGTTAGGTTTTTTATCTGAAAGCCTGAGAAAAACGCCAGACTGAACAACAATCACATGGCTTTTGTCAATATTTTGTATGGAAAGTTCTTCATAACATGGCCTTGCCATAACTTTGGTTTGTTATGCGGCAGAATTGGTTCATGAAAAAATCTTAAAACAAAAAATATGTTGTTGAAGGATATACTCCAAGTTTTGCATTTGCATTTCCTATAGAAATTATGTTGCTTTTACAAGATCAGAATAATAGATATTTTTATTTCTGATGAGATTAAATATTTTGCATTATTTATATTTTGTGAAAAATCTTGAAACAAAAAGATATCAGTTGCATTTTGAACCAGGATTTGTGTCATTGAAGCTATTTCCAAAAATTATTTTACATTTCATATAAAAAATGTTGGTATAAAATTTAAAAGTCATATTTTGATTTTTTGGCAGTAGTTTGTATTGCATTTAGGTAATTATATTTATTTTACTGTTGTCAATGCTCCAGGTCCATAAGGCTCGAATTTATTGTTGATCTCTTTATATTTTGGAAAGTATTTTGCTTGATCTAGATCTGGTGTTCTTGCTCCATGTCTAAACATCTATAAAAGACATAAATAAATCATTGATTTTCATTTGAGATTATATTGGCGATGTATATTATAGCTTCAAGTTAATTTGCATATCATGCTGCTTGATATCGAGCTGGCCATGTAATAGGCTATATGTATAAATTAGATTTTTTATATAATTTTAGACATTTTTAGTTTCAATTAACTGTCTGTATAAAGTTTTACTTATTTTATATTGTAAACATCTTCAAATATCTCTCTATTGATTTTAATACAATAATTCAAAAAACTGCAGGACTTCCACATTCATTTATATACAATTCAAATCTGAATCAATTGTCTATTATAATATATCTGATAATTACGTCTTATAATTAAACCACTATCATAATGGAAAATAAACTCTATCATCATGGAAATTTCATGTCATGTTGCTTGATATCGAGCTGGCCAAGTAATAGTCTATATGTATAAATTAGATTGGTGTGTATAGCCCACCAAAGACAATTGATTTTCACTTGAGATTATGTAACTTTAAGTGGAAATTTCATATTTGGTGTGTATTGCCCACCAAAGTTGATTGATTTTCACTTGACATTATATTTGCGATTTATAACTACAATTAGAAATTTCATATAATGCTGCTTGATATCGAGCTGGCCAAGTAATAAGGTATATATGTATAAATAAGATTGTTGTGTGTGTTGCAGCAATATCCACCAAAGGCGATTGATTTTTACTTGAGATTATATTTTTTGATGACTATGAATCTCAAATGGAAATTTGATATCATACTGCTTGATTTAGAGCTGACCAAGGTTGTAATAAAACAAGGGACTGGTTTGGATAACCAAGAGTTTGATTGTTTCCTCTCGTCGAGCTTATTTTAAAAAAATAATTAATTAAAACAAGTAATATAGACATATTTTTCTTGATAGTTGAAAGTTTATTTACATTCTTTATAATGTGGGTTATTTCAAACATCTTTTTTTGTTTAGGCTTGAAATGTTTTAATATTTTTTCTATAATTAAAAACTGAATCTAAATATCTATTAAATAATAATAAATTTTAATAACAAAATAAATAATAAAACTGCTGATTTTTTTTTAAATTTTAATTTTAAAATACATACCCCAATCACCAACTGGAGTTCTGTATCTTTATTTTTAGCACATTTGCTGGATAATTTTCGATCTGTAATAATTTTATAAATATTAAATAATTTTAAATGTTTTAAGATGATTTTGTATTTGCGATAATTTTATAAATAATAAATATTTTTTGGTGTTTATTTTAATAATTTTAAAAGTATTAAATAATTTTTTTGAAGTGTTTCTATCGTAAAAATCAAATAAGATCTGCTTGGACACAGATTTAGAAAGAAAATAATGTTTTCTCTAAAATATCATAGACATTTTTTTTCTAGGTATTATAAGATAGTATTAGTCGATCTCTTATAGTTTTGGTTACTAAAATGGAGCTTTTTTGATAAATTTAGTAATTTTAGGTGACGAAAAGGAAATTATTTTCTTTTTTATAATATTTACAAACTATCTGCTTACCAATTTCCCTAATGAAATGCCTTAAAACATATTTCCTTGATCTTATTATAATTAATAGAGACATTGCAAAGCATACATAATAAAAAAAACACAACTAAATATTTATTAGTAAAAAACTTTATTAGAAGTATCAATTGTAAATATTAGAAATTATATATTGAGTTGTCAAATTGACATTTCTCGTAAAAACAAAATATCTGTTAACTTTGAATCGATAATTAATTACTAAATCTTTTAAAATTAGTAATGGAATTACACAGAAAAAAATTTGTAAATTAAAAAAAAAGTATTTATATATATACCAGCTGGTCCTGCAAACGTTGTTCTAGAAATTTTTTTTGTACGATTACATATTTCTTTACGAAGTTTTGCATTTATTAGCAATAAAGCTAAAAGTATGTATATAACGTAAAGATTTTACTTTTTGGAAAGAATCCAAATGGTATATGAAATTTAAAAAAAAAATTATAAGCCAAACATTATTTTAATACGAATTTCTGAAAAAAATTCTTGTCTTTCACTAAAATCTGTCACGTCATTTTTATCATTATTTTTAACCAAATGATTTTACATTCGAATTCCATTTTTTGAGGAGTTTTATTTGTTGAATGAAAATTTTCAAATGCATTCGCAATTTCACTTATTTATGTCATATAGTGATGAGTAAACATTGAATTCACGTTATGGCTTTTAAAATTATGTATATATTTGTTTACTTAATATTACATTTCATAATCTTATAACAGCTGTTAAAATACATTAGGCTGACGTTAATATCTTTGATGTAAATTATTTGCAAATAATTTACACATAATGCCTTTAAAAAATTCTTGAAAGTTATTCATCTTTAGGTGTTATTGTTGATTCATCTTTTTTGCACGATTTTTTAGCTGCTTTTTCTGCTTGTATTTGCTCAAGTACTTGAGGTAGTACTAATTGAGCAAGTTTTTCACATTTTAGAAGCCTTTTCTTTCCAATTCTGATATTTTTCACTAACTTTTGGTATTTATCTAAATAACAACGTCCTGTTGAAGGATCTTTACATCCTTCGACTTTTAATTGGGTTGGACAACAGGTTCTTTTGTCGTTCCAGTAATAAATCTAAAATTAAAAAAAAATAGTAATAGTATTAATTGATAATTGATACATAAGCCTATATAGTCATATAATAGATAAAAGTTCGCAAACTCAAATTAAGTAGAAAATTTTGGGCAAGTCAATTCTTTCAATTTTTCATTTGAACTAAACTAGAAAAATATTCATCTTACTTAAAAATATTTAGAAGAGAAAAACGTATTTTTACTTAACGAGCCAATACATATTTCTATATAGTTTTTTATGGTCCTGGATTTTTTTGGATTTTTTTAATATCAATACCAATTTTGTGTAACCTCAAGGCTATAAATTGTAATATAATTTTTATTTTCACCTGTTTTATTCAAAAATTTATTAATGCAAAATTTTTAATAAAGAATTCTACCAGCATGAGCATGAGTCATACAATAAATCATTTTAGTGAATTTGGTAATTGTTAATTATTTAATTCTAACACAATTGAGCTTGATAAACTATAAATGAATATTTAACAATTTTTTAATTCTGTTATTTTTTATGTATTTATTCATGTGTTTAAATTAGTGCTAGTGATAAAAATGTTTTTCACCTTATACTATTAAAATCTAAAATTAATAATCTAGAAAAGGTGAGATTTCTGACCTTTTATGTAATACCTTATATATTATCTTTCTTCGAAATATTCTGATTTATTTACATTTAATATTTCAAAAAAGTGCAAGACTTCCATATTTATATATATTTATATATATATATATATATATATATATATATATATATATAAATATACTAGATAACCCGACAGTCGTTGTCCTATACTTATGTTTACAATTCAAAAGTTCCAATTTTTTAATAATAATCTATACTGATATATACCAATTAGTTAAAAATTATTATGTTTTTTTATACTACAGTCTATACCGAAATGTATATACATCCACCCATATGGACTTAAATGTACAACTGCTTTAAATAAAATGATGAGTATTTGTTTTTTTGAAAAACATAGAACATTTCTTTCTTATAGTTAGTTCTTTTCCGACGTTATTTTGAAAAAAAAAATCAAATTACACCCTTGACAGGGATGTCATCCCCCCGGGAAATGGCAAAGGAGTTTAAATTATTTTCATTTTTGAACTTGAGAGTACGATAAACCTAATTTCAATATTTCATACAAATTAGAGCACAGTAAAAAAAGTTTAGATACAAAACGCTCATATTGACTTGAGTAAATATTCCGTATCTGATGGCAAAAATATGAAAATACTAACGTTTGTATGTGAAAAAGAAAAGTGCTGTTTTTAGGGTTTTCCTGGTAATTATTCGATTTTTTGTCGACGTAAGAATCATCCTTAGACTTGAACGAACATTTTAAAAACAGAATTGGCCAAATCGGTCTAGGCGTTGTTGAGTTTTGCGCTTACCAACATATTTTGCGATGTATTTTTATATTATAGATACAATTTAAATCTGAACGAATTGCCTATTATAAAATCTGTTAATTATTTTTTCTAATCAAACCACTTCTCCTAGGCCTATAATATTTTGCAGTATTCATTTTTACTATAAACTGTCACCATGCAAAGTTTCATCAAAATCCAAGAAAAGTAAACCTGAGGTTCCCCTTGTGAGATATTAATTATCATATATTTTCCTTACCTTAATAAAATATTTCCTACTTCGTTTTTCTCAATTTAATATTTATTTCCCTTACCTTTATGAAATATCTCCCACTCCTCTTTTCTCGATGCAATTCGGTAATTATGATGGAACCATAATTGGGTGCATCAACCAAAAATGGTTCATCATTTTTGGTAAAACCATGGTGGCCTCCTAAGGCGGCTACAGCTGGTGCAATTGTGGTGTCATGTGCAGAAAATAGTCGCAATTTTTGGTATCTATATTTGTCTTTGTGGTTTATATAGTCGTTGAATTCTTTTAACATCATGTCTACGTAAATTCCTATAAAAGGGATAAAATTGATATTAATAATTAATAATGGATATTTTGGATGGATTTTTATGATGGTGGTGTACCTCCGGATTGTTGTCTTAAGTCAATTGTACCAAAAGCCACTTGCAAAAATTGATATATGCACAAATCCATTTGTTGGAATAATTTTTCGTCCACCCATTCAGGAAGATCTTTTTTAGCGTTTTCCTAAAGTAGAAATTTTTCTTTATCAAAATTTAATATTCTGTTACTAATATTTAGATTTCATTAGAATATTTCCTTTTTTCTTTAGTTACGATTTTAATTTTAATATTTAATTTACAAATATAAAAATTGCTACATAGATGATATTATTACAAATAGGGTTTTTTCTTTAATTACGATTGCAGAAATTTATATTCTAGTCAACTGCCAAAGTGATTATACACATCTAGATTCCAGTCAATGTTTTAATGAAAAATTTTATCGATGGTTTAAAATGAGAAAATTCAAGTTTTTGGCAGGTATTACTTCAAGGACAAGAATTTATTTTCTTACCTGAGCTTTATATAATTCGCTCATATACCAAACTTTTAAAGGATCTGGTTTTTCTACACCTAATTTTATCTTCATTAGGCCCATGGGATTCATGCAAGCACTTACTTGTCTCAAATTTTCTTGTTTATCAAAAAATGACTTAATTTGTAACAAGTACGCTGGACATATCTCTTTTTTATAATAAAACTTCAACTAAAAATTGAATTAATTTTTTCTAAATTATTACATACTCGTATAAAATAAGTGTTTTTTTTTTAACTTACGAAAAATTCCTTTTCTGCATTAAGAGTCTTATTAAGATATTTGTAAGAAGCCCATCGTCTTCTGAGCACATCTCTCTTATCCTACAACAAAAAAAAAATTCAATCATTTCATTTTCTATATTATAAAATGTTGTAACATATATGTATATGCTCATAAAGAGTATAAAAAAATCGAAATTTTAAAATAAGGGTGGTCCTTAATATGGACATATATGTATATGCTCATAAAGAGTATAAAATAAATCGAAATTTTAAAATAAGGGTGGTCCTTAATATAGACATTTTCGAATTTCCTTGCTTCCGAGGGCTCAAATGGTTCCAAATTGATAAAAAACAATTCTCTGAAAGTTTTAGCTCTTAATATTAACTTTTATATAGTGCGCAATTCAATCAAACTTCGTATAGAAATTCGCATGGAAAAAATTTTGAAAAGTAAAAAAAAATTTTTAGGTATAACTTAGCGACAAATTTTTAATAAAACTCATTCATTTGTTTGTTAAATTATATCTAAAAACATTTTTTAAATTTTTGAAATTTTTTTTGTGTTATTTCCATACAAAACTTTGATTGAATTGCGCACTATCTATAAAATAACATTAAGAGCTTAAACTTTGAGAGAATTGTTTTTTATCAATTTGGAACCATTTGAGCCCTTGGGAGCAAGGAAATTCGAAAATGTCCATATTAAGGACCACCCTAAAGTATATATTTATAAAATTAAAATAATTACATATCCCAATAATCCTCGAAGAACAATTTGTGCACTTATCAAGGATCTTTTATACTTCGTCGATTCCATTTGTATGTCATCTCTGTACAACCAGGATCGTTGTACAATTTTTTGGCATATCTTTTTCTTAATTTTTCTCCCAAATTGTACATTGTGCTTTTTCCTAGCTGAATTGATAAAATATTAATAAAATAATTAATGAAAATTTAATAATTATATCGATAAAATTAAATTAAAAAATGTGATCTTACTGTAGTTAGTTGTCCTACTCCATATGGCCTAAAAGTATCATTTATGTATTCGTATTTTGGAAATTCTTGCATTTGTTCTGGATCTGGTGTTCTTTCACCATGTCTGAACATCTAAATGAGAAATATTGGTAAATATTAAATATCTATGAAATATAGTTCCAAAAAGAGAAATTTAGTAGAAAATACTAAGTTAGAGAAAATTTTTATTAAGCTTTTTTTGATAAAATTAGTACATTATTCTAAATACGCTAACAATACAATAACTAAGTGTTGAATATAAAAAACGACATATTTTCCATAAATTTTGAATGACAGCAATGCGAAATTTAGTAGCAGTTTTTATGCTTTTATTAGGAATTGTAAAGAAAATTATCAATTAAAGTCACCTCGATTTTAAACATGAAAACAACATATTTTCAATTAAACTTTGAATGATAAATATGCAAAATTTAGTACCAAATTTTATTCTTTTATTAAGAAATTGTGAAGAAAATTATTTTGTTAAATTAATGTCGACGTTAATAGTTCTAGGTATTATTTTTTGTCTTAGCTTAAATTATTCCTTTAAATTCCTTATCATTTAAAAGTTGTTATTCTAACCTTGTAAAATTCTATTCTATATATGACAATATTTTTTATTATAATTATAAGTTGTAAGAATATTACAATGTGACCATTTTTAATACTAAAATGTTATCATTTCCACTAAGATCAACGACACTAAAAGATTTGATACAAATTATTATTTTTTTTTTTTTACCCCAGTCACTAGCACTAATTTTGAAGCTGGTTTCCAACATTGTTTTTTGGATAAAACTTCTGATGAAATATTAAGTAAAATAAATGAAATTAAAAAAATAAATTTCATTATTGCATGTTATTAAAATCTAACTCTCATAGAAACTGAATATAATGTAACTACGTTGAAATTATTATATGATTTACCTAATCATAAGTTTATTGCGTCGATATTCAAACAAAACAAATAGTTGCATAACTATGTTGCGAAATAATAAAATTCAATTTAGTGTATCTCGTATTGTTTATTAATATTTATACAAAAACGAGTTTATATAAAAATAGTATAAAAATATTTATGTAATTCTTACTATATTTATAATTTTCTGATGATTTTAATATTTTAGTATTATAATAATAATGCATTTATTATATGAAATAAATGAATAATATATATTGAAATTTAGTTGTTTCCAAAATTATTATTTCCTAGTGGCATTTTGCAATTTGTGAGTTCGTTCTTTTCTATTCTTATGTTTTTCACAAGTTCTTTATATTTTTCTAAAGAACAACAGCTTGTTCCTCCGCATCCTTTAACTATTAGTTCTGATTCTTGTTTATCATTCCAATATAATATCTGAAATTATTGAAAATCAAGAGTAAATATAATTACAGGAATTGTTGGGGATCATCATTATCACTTTTTTATAAACATATTCATTTTATTTGAAATTGTTGGGAAACAATATTTTTTGTTAAAGAATTATTTTCTTACAAAATATCATAAATCGAAATTTGAATGATAAACCGAGTTGTATAAGAAGTAATAAAATTTTATTTGTACTTATGCGAAATATCTAGAAAATATAGTGTTAGAAAAACATGAAGATATGAACAAGTTGGTAACTTGTAATTTCGTGGCGATGTTTAAAAAGGTCGCATATTTTTTACAAATAATATAAAATTTTGTGGAATACAAATATGGTAATAAATATTCAAAATTTTGAAAAAAATGCTGAAAATATTTATACTTTATACCCTAGCCGTTCAGTTGCAATACAAACTTGAAGAATATGAATACGACATGTATCCATCCATCTTTTAAGAAAATGTACCACTCGAATTTTATCATCTTATTTCATGAAATGAAACAAATTTTTTAAATTTTATTGATATAAGGTTGTCAAATATCTCCCTTCCGCCTTTTTGTATCATAAACAAAGAGCAAAAAAGCGGGAGGGAGATATTTGACAACCTAATATTAATTTAGAGAACTTACCTTTATAAAATGTTTACTGTCTGTTCCTTTATAAAGTTCTGTTACGATAGCAGCACCATATTTTGGTATATCAACAGTGAAATCTTGTCCATTTTTTGTAAATCCTTGAGAACCACCTAGAGCTGCCAATGCTGGTGCCACTGTGGTGTCATGTCCGGAAAAGAGCCTCAATGGTTTATCCTTATTAGTATTTGTATTGCTTATAAATCTGTCGAACTCTTTCAGCATCATGTCCACATAAATTCCTAGATAACGAAAAATATTTATGGTAATTTGTCAGTTTTATAAGCTGCTATTTTAAGAGTAACAGGTATTTTACCTCCTGATAATTTTTTCAATTCGTCACTTCCAAAAGCGATATCTAAAAATTTCTGAATGCATTGTTCCATTTTGCTGAACATACCATTATCGACCCAATTTGGAAGACCAACATTGGTACATTTCTGCAATATTTTATTTAAGTTTAATTAGCCATATTTAATTTGGAACAAAGTAACATATAAATAATAATACAAAGATAATTTGTTGTGATAAAAAGCATTCTTTTTTATTATGATTGTCTTTTTCCTAGATAATTTAGCTAAATGGTCTAATAAAAATAATTTCGAAAACAGCTGTCATTCATAATACCAATGAAATTTATATTGAGTAGAATTAAATAAATGAGACCAATTAACCTTATTGTACGAGAAAAGCAAGAACTTTATTTTTTTTTTTTTTGAGAATCTGACATAGACATACCTGTGCTCTGTATAATTCGTACATATACCACACTAACAAGGGACTTGGCTGTTTCACTCCAAGCTGTCCTCCCATTATTTGCATTGGTTCTCTACAAACAGCAAATTTTGCTTGATTTTGTGCTGATTTGGCCAGTACGAGTTTCATATACTCCGGACATTCTTTCTTATAATAATTTTTAAACTACAAATAGAAAAAAGTGAAATATGATAATATAAATTATTATAAAAATTGCTATCAAGTTATTAGCATATGATCGTACCAACTTCTCTTTTTCCTCACTTAATGTATTATTTATATATCTCATAGTATCCCATTTGAATGTAGCTGGATCTCTGTTCTGTAAATGATAATAATTTTATATCTCAATTTTTTTTGAAGTCTTTATAAATCTACCTCGCCAAGTAACGCGTTCAATACAATCTGAGCGCTGACCAGACAACGTTGATATTTTGTTGATTCCATTCTAACTTGATTTCTCGTAACACATCCTTTGTCATATAATTTATCAGCATATTTTTTCTTCAGTCTAAGACCTAATTTATGCATTGTTTGTTTACCCTCCTGAAAATAAAATAATAATTCATCACATAATTTGTTTTTTATAAAAATATATATACTGTTGTAATGAAGGCTTATAAATTTATCTAGATTGATATTATAGTATTTTTTTGGACTTATGAATATATTTGAAATTTTGTAATTTAAGTAAGTATCTGCATATATCGCAAATTAGTATATCTACTATAACAACAAATATTAAAACTTACGTTTTTTCTAATAAAATATAACATAAATATTTTTTTTTTGTCTTTCTAGACTACTAAATGCTGTAGTATTAGTATATCTACTATAATAACAAATTCCAAAATTGATGAGCTCTCTAACAAAATATAACACAAAATGACAATATTGTTAGAAAAAATTATGTCAACCAATCAACTTACATCTGTGAGTTGACCTAGTCCAGGAGGTTCAAATTTATTTTTTGCCTGCTCATATTTTGGAAAAACAGCCATTTGTTCAGGCTCTGGTGTTCTTTCGCCATGTCTAAACATCTACAAAAATAAATAAAATTACTTCCTAAAAACATTCTTAAATTTCATGATGAACAATATTATTCTTATGATAAGTTTATAAATACCGCTGAAACGAGTAACAATTCTGAACCTTTATCACATGGTGTTTGGGCTGACAAACTTTGAATTAAAACAAATAATACAAATACTTTAAACTCCATCTTCTCAATCAATTTTGCTATTAATGATAAATGTAATGACTTAATTAAAAAGTTGTAATTTGAGGTCAGTAAGGCATTTTATAATATTTTTGTCAATGGTATTTCATAATACCAAAAAAACATAAATATTATGATCAACATTTTAAAAATTTTGCCAATATCTGATGTTCTGATGTTTCAATATATACCTCTAATATCGCAGGGGTTTAAAATTAATGGCATAGATAATTAAATTATGTTTATCAATTTCATTGTATTAATTTAATAATTTCATTATATTAATTGAAATAATTTCTAAGATCGGTGATTCCTAAATCATTTTTACCTTAGCTTAAACTTTAAGTATCTTTTTTGATATTCTTTTTAGACATCTATCAGAAATGAACTTACCTAGGATACCTAAATTTCACCTAATTTGTATAAAAAGACATCAAAGCCTCAATACAAAGTTGTTTTTTTCATCTTTTTAAAAACAATTCAAAAAAATAATAATAGCTGAATGTAATCATTTGAAATACATTCATGAGAATTTTCAAATTTTGAATTTTTGTATAGTTTTTATGAATTTTGAAAATATATTTATACGATCAAAGGAAAATTGTGGGAAGGCCAGCAAGTTGTTCCTCAAATTTGTCAACTTCATTTGTCAATACATATTTCTATGATGCATTTGCTAGAAGACGTTTATTTAAACAATCTCTGGTTCAAGCTTGATTCTGCATTTCCTAAAAAGTTGTACTTGGTTCTTTTCTAGTTCATAGATATTCCATCATCCACTAATGATACCATCCTAGTGGTAAATTGTCCACCAGTAGAAGTACCAATGACGTCAAAGTCATTTATTAATATTAATAATAATTTTATAATATTATGTTCATATCTTTAGTTATCAGTTGCCAAAAAATGTGTTTAATTATATACTTTTGTAATGTAATATAAAATAACTAGTTGGTTTGGTATTTAGCCTTGAGGCAAGTTACATGAACTTCCCGATATATTTAAATAATCGACTTAATCAATAAAAAATAAATTAATTTATGAGTCATTAAAAGTATTCCGAGTGGATTTATTACACATAATTGAAACGAACGAACACTTTGACTCGGAGTATTTTCTAAAAGCAAATTTTCAAAAATCAATAATTTTTATATTTGAACCAGTTTCAGGACTTCTTTGGTTTATTATGTTCAAGACCAAGTAGTCTATCATTATACTAAGTAAATAGTCTAATTTTAATTTTAGCAAATGTCAAAAGAGCTACTCATTTTCTCAAACTTTGATGAATCTTTAAAATCAAACTATTTGTCATAAGGCCGTAATATTGCAGTAAGTTCTATAAGACCATGGTATATATCGCTAAAAAAATTCCATAAAAATCGGCTTAAATTTTTTTTTCAACAGTTAATTACAAGAAAACAGCTCGGTAGATTTTCACCTAAAACTAATCAGTATCATTCTCACTAATATCTTTCGAACAGTTTTTGATTTTTTAAAATCGGTTCGGTAGGATGAGCTTAAATGTGGACGAAAAGTTTAACACTTTTTTCCAAATTACAAAGAAACGGCTTGGCAGATCGTCGCACAAAATTAATAAACGCTAGTCCTCATCGAGATACATCAAATGGCTTTTAAATTTTTGAAATCGGTCCAGCCGTTTTGGAGAAAACGTCGATTTACGGCAAAAAGTCTGTTCACACACACACACACACACACACATACTTTTTCCAAATTTGATCTCATTCGATTCAGAATGGCTTGAGACGTCGAGAAAACATGAAATTAGCGAATCGGATTTTTTGATGAAAACATAAACTTCTCCTTCGGGAAGTTAATTATGATTGAATATAAAATGATAATATAAAATTAATTTATATTATCATTTTATATTCAATTATTATAAGTTTCTACGGAAATTTTGCATAATTATCATTGAGGATTGTTGAATTATCAAACTTGTTTCTAAACATAAAAAATTAAGTTATTCTCATAAATATCTATCTACAATTCACATTTTTATTACGGACACAAATATGCTTCATTACTTTATAATAATATAATTATTTTATGTTTCCAGGTGTCCATGAAACCCAATACACAGAACAGCAACTTCTGGACCAGCTAGAAGCTTGCGCCGAGAGCTTGGAGCTTTCGGAGAGATACGAGCTTTTGGGTAGCTTATATCGGCTCATACTGCCAATTCACGAACGTAGAAGGGACTACGAGGCTTTGGCCGCCTGCTACGGCCGATTGAGAGAGGCCTGTCTACGCGTAGCCGAAGTCGCTAGAACCGGAAAAAGATTACTAGGTAGGATGATATATACAGGGTGTCCCAGAACTCAACGTCAAGTCCTAACGCGGTGATAGTATTGACCTTAAAAAAATTAGAAAAAGTCATTTATATTTTTACTCGAAATTTTTCAATAATAATATTTTGAAGTACTTTACCATTTTACAATCCTGATTAAATGCGCCAACTTTTGATGAAACTTGCGAACATACTTCAGTACATTTTTTTTAAAAAAGGACATCTCACAGTCGACGGTGTTAATCGACAGAATTTAACAATTAGTCTTATTTTTTGATAATTTGGAGCTCATGTGATATTTTTTTAACTATGGTCCGAGAAATGTTGTCCAAAGTTTAAATGAATAAATGAAAAATATTGATAAAAGTTAACCACAATATCTGAAACATGGTCATAATTTTGCCAAAGCTCTAGGTTGGTTAAATTGTAACCAAATTATAAAACTTAAAAACTTATTTTCAATTTCCAAACAACATGAGATTTGTTTATAATTTCTTTTCAAGACAGTTGAGGTCAACACTGTAAAATTATCAAAGAAATTCGATACTTCTGATTGAAGAAAAAATATAGAATTGTTATTACAATATTCTGAATTTGTTTCTGAATGACAGTTAATCAAAATGGTTTCAAAGACACCATGTTTAATTTTAATGCGAAATCATGAATTATCTATTATTGTATCTAGAAACTGTGCCGGCGAATCTAAGATTTGAAGTTTTCTGTATGCTTTATTTTTTTTTTTTTGACTATTTTACAATATTCTGGTGAGCGATTTGTGGAAAACTATTTCATTTTTAGTCAAATTATTTTACTTTTGGACATTTCCAAAATTTAACATAGCTTCTTCTGTATCGATGGCGTTTGAATTTGTGTAAAATGAATTGATGAAAAAAAAGGTAAAAAAATTAGTTTGACAGTTTATGCTAGTATTGTATTGACGGAACTAGATTTATTCTAAAAATTTATAAAGAAAAACATTTGGAATATTTAATAGAATTATATCAATTATTATTTGCAAAATGTTTTAATCGTCTGTTTAGAACACATCTTCTTATATTTATTGTTTTCAAATTCAGTAATTATTATTTGTAGCAAATATTATTGAAAATTTATGAAAACATAAATAATTTAAGGAAAATTTGTATATTATTGAAGAAAGTTATGAAATAATTTTTACATTTAATTTTTAGTTAGGAAAATTTGTATATTATTGAAGAAGATGATGAAATAATTTTTACGCACTATTGCATGAGTTTTACGAATATTTTTACTAAATATATTGGTATTATCAATTTTAATAATGGTATTATCAATCCTTAAAGTTACTGATTATGCAAGATTCGAACAATAATTTGATGCATCTAGTTTTATTGATGGTAACCTTTGCATGGACAATTTCAGAAAAATGTTTCAAAATTATATAATTGTAAAAAATCAACATAAAAGAAATCGGTCTAAAAATTTTTAAAAAAATTATTAAGGGTGGTCAACCCTTATAACTTAGCCATCTCCACCTTCTTTATAATTTGTTTACGAATAAACAAATAATTCATATCTATAGAAATAATTATAAAAAATATTGCATAGAAATGAATGATAGAGATTATCCCAAGTCTTTGACTACATTCTGGGGGCAATTATGCCTCATAAAAAATCGTTGTCAAGACAACGCTAAATTATGCTTGTTTCTTG